GACGACTGGTTACACAGCAATGCTGGCTGGAGGACTCACAGACCAAAGTACTGATGATCCTGAATTTATGGTTAGTTTATTTTACTATTACTTCCTCTTACCATGCTATGGAGGTTTTTCTTTACATCAAATTATTCTCAGTTAATCAATTCACAGATGGTGTGATCACTTCTTAAGATAGATTGAACCTGATTACATTATATGGTTTGTCTTTGCCCATTTCCTTTGTTGTGTGGCCACTTAATCTCAAAGGGTTTTCCCTAAAATTTCCAGGCTTCCTTTTCTCCGTTTGATACTGTATCCCACAGTTCTTACATTGGCGGGACCCAATATTCGTTTCGAAAGTGGTAGTGGGCGAACACCACCAACCGTCTCTCTGGCCACCCGTTTGAGTGAACATATTTACACCTTCTAATGACTGGATTTGTTATTTCAAAGAAGTCATAGTGGCAATAGATCATTGAAAATCTTGAGAAGTCAGTCCCTTCTCCCAACTCAGAGTTGAATGACGCGATTTTTTGCGGAAGGGGTGCATAGTAGGAAGTGCATTTGGGACTACATAGAGGCAAGGGAGCAAGCCAGTCCTGAGGCTTCTACTTAATCTGAAGATCCACATAAATGGGAGTAACTAACACTGTAGACTGGTAGCAAAGCCATAATTCGTTTTATCGCTAATTCTCAGCAATGGTTTTTTCTTCTATGGCCTTTTATCATTTATCTACGGCATCGTAGAGGCTCCTGAAATTTGTGCTGCCACTTCAGTAACGTACAAAGGCCTCATCATCTTATCGAAGAAAGTTTGATCTTTCTATTCTTTTTGAGTATAGACACCGATTGTGATGCGATGCTGCCAAGCCTCTGATTCTAATTATTTTTTTTACAAACAGCACGAATTGTATTCTTTTGTCAAGTTCAGATGTAATAGACCATTTTAAGGAGCAGGCTTGGAAAGCCGCGACCAAAGTGAATGAAGAAGCGAATGATGGCGAATACTACATGATTCCAACGAAGGTTAGCAAGTTTGTATAACTTTTCTGCTGGGTTTGTAGTCAATCGATGGGGTGAGACTGTGTTATCCAAAAGTGCAAGATGATGAAATGTGGCTCGGAATCGTTCACCAATTATTCATCTTTAAGAAGATTTCTCTGTAACTGTCATTATTGTTATTTTGGACTCCATTTCGATTTTGAGAACAACGACAGGGCCAACAGCGAGCCCTGCTCGTGGTAGCTAGAACAGTTCTACCAAAACAGTCGAGTTAATGGAAATCGTGAGAGCGGAATTAGAATTGTGAATTCCCAGATTTTACGTGAAGATGCGCTATTTTGAGCAGCACATATGGCAATGATGTAATCATTTACAATTCCAATTACCGTCACGGCTCCAAAAAGTCAACGAGTTATTTCTGATTCTTATAGAACCATAAATTTCATTTCACATCAAAGACCACTTTTGATTTTGTACCCTTATCAATCGAATAGTGCACTAAAAAGGAGAATCAGTGTGTTGTTGGAATGCATTCTCTTGTAGCTACATAAAAATGAAATATTTTCATCCAATGTCATACTATGTAGTGAGGGAAGAGGTGGTGCAGGGGCAAGTAGCGCACTATTACACGTACATAGTCCGAGGATCGAAGTCCAAATTGGTATCCACTTACGCCAAACAAACCGTCCATCCCTCCGGGATCGGTTAACTGGTAAAAAACTTGTTTTGGAGTATGAAATCACTGAATTGTTCATCGGCTGGCCGCCTGGTCTAGTCATTGACAGACCAAAACCCATTCAAAACATCACTTCGATTATAAATGGAAGTCGAGTTAGGAGTGCATCTCAAGGACGGGGCTCATTAACACAAAACACTTCACTCTCCACCAAATATCTCAGAATCCAATAGGAATTTTTTAAAATTGAACTGCACACAGCGTATGATTCTATTTGAGGCCGAGAATGAATACTGCACAGCGCTGTTCAATTGATTCGAGAGCGATGAGCGGAAACACTTAAACTGTTACCCTCACCAGTGAATTCTTCTCCTTTGAAGGCATTCTTTCCAAGGGTTCTGGTGGATCGCATTTGCGATGGCTCAGGCAAGCGCGCGACAAGTCTTTGGTAGTGGTAAAACTTAAAGGTAAAACTTAAAATAAACTAAAAGCCCTCTTTCCTTTTTCATCAGACGAATCACCTTAGCGAGTGGCATGCAGTTCATGTCTAACATCACGCAGTCTCGTCTGAATATAACACATAGAAAGGACTTGGTACTGGGGGCAACACTACTTACAACCCATCATGAAGAGTGCCCTTCCCCTCCTCTCCTCACCCCCTTTTTTCCCCAAGTAGACACTGCGTGAAGGTTAGAAGGCTAAAAATTTTAAAGAAATCAGGGGCAATCTTTCTATTACCTACAGCATGTACTTTTCCTTCANCCCCCCGATTAGTGATAGGAATACTATCAAAAGTAAGATAAGCTCCTTATTCAAGACCTCTAGGATCACCCGGCAAATGATGATCTCTACTCCTTTCCGTAATAATTGCATTCCAAATTTGGACGCTCTGGTTCACGAAAACAGAAGCCCTGTATTAATTCCCAGTGAAACACACATCAAACACTCACCGACACATTTCGTCTGCCCCCGACTTGCCGTTGGCGAATTCCTACTCAAGACCTCTGTGTTTAACTAATCTGGTTCGCTCCCCACTTATTTCAACTTCACTGCGTATTTTCACTAAGCATGCTCATTCTACGCACGCTCGCCTCTCCAACCCCCTACTCTTCGTGAGCGGGATCAACTTCGTTCTTTTTCTCCTCCAACCATAAGAATCCTAAACTGATCCTGCACTCGTTCAGGATTTGAGCGCTCAAGATTCAAATATACAATTTTCACGCACGATTCGCCTTACAATTAGTCGTGCCACGCATCACCAGTCATCACCTATCAAAGCTGAGTGATCTAGGTCCACGGGTACAGAAGCTATAAATTTTTGGTTAAACACACACATACGCGCCACGCACATACATACAGGCAAACCAACAGACACATTCAGCGCGTTAAAGGCACACTTCACGTTGAAAACAGTATGTGAAATTTCCTCAAAGGATGAATTCGAGGTTCCTCCTGATACCATATGTGCCCATGTCAGGTCGAGAAACACCTGAATAGGGCACAATACGGGGCTAGACATTGTACATTGTCTCAACGGTGTTGTAGAGGCCAAATTTCTCAAGGGACTCCCATATTGGAAGTTCAAACAATTCTTCATGACCCATGACAACAGTAGAAGTCACTTTAGACAATTCTGACTCGAAGCACTCAGCTCTTTGCGCAATTGTAACATATGAAATCTCGTCCGAATACCCCTTCCAGGGTATTTTCGCCATAGTAATCTCGTACAACTCTATTCCCATTACTTTTAGAAAGCCTTATTTTTCGCGAAGTAGACGGATTCTCACGCCTTCTTCGCTACCGATGCACTACTGTACATCAACACTTCCTCTTTTCAACTTTAAATGGGTACCACAATATTATCGTGAACTGTGCCTTTAAATGTAGTAGGATATTTCTGGTAAGATTGAATGGAAAGCTATCGAAAACTTTTTTTTTCAGGTACTGAGTGCTAAAACACAAGTCGTATCAGGAGTCATGTTTACCTCCAAAGTGCTCTTCGAAGAATCGTCTTGTAAAAAAGGAGTGCGTTTTTGTGATCATCTTCAGGAAATTAGCGTTCTATGTTTTTCTGAAAAATTAGCTCGTAATATTACAGTTGGTCATATCCAGATATTCGGTAGGAGTAGCTTTTTTATTGTTTGATAACTGAAACGAAATGACCTCAAGAAAAACTTCATCACAAATTTTGAAGGATGTTCCAGTTGACCAGTTGAAAGCATCAAATTGTGCACCTAAAGAAGGTGGAAAACGAGTCGTGAGTTCATTGATTGTGCTTGCACATAATTCGCCCTTGTTACAGTTGTTCTAGTTACTTCTGGTCCTTTTTACAGATTTACGAAATTAGTGTGCTTTCGCAACCATGGCTGAACTCTGAGCAGGTCGGCGTGAAGGTATTGAGAGTTCTTGATCCTGATGAGCAGGTCTAAACAACTCATTTATTCAAAGCTTTCACTGCAGTATACGTATATTATAATTCACTTTAGAAGAGAAAAAAGCTCTTTCTTCTTTTATTTTCTCCCTTTGTCAATGTATTTTTTCAAAATAAAGCAGCGGTAAATTATGTGTATAAGCTCAATGCTGATAGCCTGGGACTAATCCATCCGTGAATAAATGCATTGCATTGATGTATTCGGCCGACAACACCAATTATATACAAAAGATAGTATCTATGTCTGTCAAGGTTTCCACTTCGGGGGCGGGACTTCAGACGTGAATACGCGTGAGCGAGCGGTGAGCGTTTGATGGTGATTTTGCGACGTCGAAGTGCTAGGGCTCTGTTCATTAGTATAAGACGGATTCATAGTCCCGTGAATGAGTTACACAGTAACCCGAATACACACTAAAGCACCTCCAAACGCCAACCACATATACGACGCAACAATAAGGTACCCTGAGTGAGACCCCCGAGTGGATACTGTATCACATATTCACAGGACGTTAGAATCTGGCTTCCTTCATTAGCTTTGAGTCCCGCCTTCCTGTCAATCTCTAGAGCACCGATTTTCGAATCTTTCCTACACATCATGTGCTCCAGCCAACCATCACCTCCTTTTTGAATTTATTCAACGCCCAGCGGTTAGGTGGATCGCATTCTCCAGTTCGAATCTAAGGTCTCGTACCGTGCAACATAAGAACTACTCAACTCACATTGGGCAAATGTATTGACCTAGCAAATAGCATCACCGCCTCACACACATACATAGATGTCAATACATTCACATACATTACACATAATATTTGTCAAGCCACTATATTTTCGACAATCGGAGTGGCTCATCTTCTTGGAGCTGTGAAGTACTAGTCCGCATAATGAACACATCGTGTACAATGCCGATTTGTATCCAAATAGCTCCCCTGGTGACCGTTTTTATAACTTTTGTGAATTTTAAAATACGGGCTGGGTGTATGTAAAAATGTATGAAGCGATCTTAATGGGGAATTAATAGAGAACGCGGACAAACTCAACGCGGAGCAGATTCCTCTGGAGATGAAGGTTCAGGTTCATGTCGTCTTCAGTGTTACTGTGGAGTCAAGTATGCGTCTCATGAGAGACCGGCAGAGCTGCAAAGACCTGACTGCAACGAGGGACGCGTAGCATAGTATTTCCGGAAAGACCAGTATTAGGAAAGGCGAACGGCGAAAAGCTCCGCCACAAGATCTCGCCGGTTCAACCACTTCCCGACATGATATTGTATCCAGCAATGCAACGAGAGGCTGGGCAGGGCCTCCTTAGGCAGTGCTACACTGTTCGGATACACGACCACTGTTCATAAGGGCTGCTGCTCATTCGAAACTGAGCAATCGTTCAATCTCCGTATACTTACCATAATCGAATTGTCCGCAGAATCCCAAATGTTGAGAGCCAAGAGGTTTGCAGTGATGAATATATTTGAGAATGTAGGTAGATCCTTTGTTTGTAGTCTAATAAAACCTAGAAATTATGAAGTTTCTATCAGGGACAGCAACTTTGGCAGTGTAAGGCATCACTTACGTAACAACTCGTACTTCATCCTTTAAGTAGACAAAAAGGTAAAACTGTCCATCATTAGCACTCGAATAACAAATAGTATGAGATCGATGTCCTATCCCGCTAAGCCATTAAACTTGTAGAACGGCCGGAATATTCGATTTTCAATCAGGTAACGTAAAGAGTCTGTGAATGTGTCTTCAGGAATCGGATCAGTCATCTCTGGGAGGGGGGGGAGGGGGTGAACTGTTCTGAAGTTATCTTTTTTATTGCCTGACTTACCTCATAGGATATGTGTTGCTTCTCAAATAAGATAAATCGAAAACCTTGAACTTCAGATCCCCACCTTTCCTTGAGTCAACAGACAAGGTATAGGGCAGACGTGGTAGTAGTGATGCCTTATACCAACAACAGAATAATAAAAAAATACTTTGGACGGTCGATCCTTCGTACGGGAGGGACTATTTTCTACGGGTGCTTTCCTTTTTGATCATGCTCCGTGAATGAAAACACACTCTTAATCAATGAGTTCAAGGTTATCAAATAATAGCCACTAGAAAATTTGTTGGAGTAAGCCACCAGAATCCATCCCGGGAGTGCATACGAAATGCAGCCGTTTGCCCTATAACACTTAATTATAATTTTCAACTTCAAGTATTTGAATTCAAAGTTAAGCAATATTCATTTTCTGGTGAAAATGTAGTTGGGGGGGGGGG